TTCTCCCATCAGGTTTACTATTTGGATCACGGCTTTGCTGCGGAGATTCCTCTAGAAAATCTTCTGCCTTTGCACCATGACTTCCTTTCACTGCCCTTCCAAGCCACCAATGTTAGGCTGGCAGGTACACACGCTATAACAAAAGATGTGTTGCAATTTGTAAAGGCTGAATGTTTGTTGTAGCTCTTGTGCTAAATATGCGATTGTGCAAGTAGTCATAATGTGGCCGGTTAATGTAGCGATACAATTTTTTAAAATTTGACCTTAATACCCTTAACTGCCCTTTTGCTTTCTCCTCTCAGGTTTAGAGGCATTCAGTTCCCATCCCGCTGTGTTGTCCTGCTTGGAGAAGGTTGCGGTTGGAAAGATTCTGCTCATGGAGATACTGGGTTCTTCTACTCACCCAAATGACTTGCCTGAGGTGTTGCTTTATGACACCTCACAAGATGATGACATCAATATCAACTCTGTCTGCTTAAAGGAGCTGCAAGACAAAACCATGAATAACCCCTTAACCGTAAGTGTGATGACGCACACTGCTGATGGGTTTTACATTTGTAAACAGATTTGAGTTTTGCAGTATGTCTTCATACAGCCTAAACCAGAAATTACTGCGTTTTTTATGAAAATCATGAAAAATGTGAAATGTTTTGACACTTGGAATTACTTGGTCAACTTTCTTTCAGAAGCCAAGGTCTTCCTATGAGTCAATTATTACTGAGCTGTGTGATTGTCATTTATCTCCTGCCTTTAGGTGAATTCTATCTATCAGGGTGTATGTGTCACAAATATTTGTGCGGAAGGCATCGTCTTTTGCCAGCTGCCCTCCAGAGGAACCACAAGACTTAGCAAATTATTGGAAGAAACAGAAGCATTTTTGTTCTCCCAGGTAGGTTACCAAAGAATCCACACTGCACTTCTGGACGTAGTGAGCATTGCGGTGATACTCCATGACTCTCTTTAGGTGTATCTGCTATTGATTTACAAAAAGCTGCTTTCAGGTGCAATATGTCACATTATTAGTCACATTTTCTGCCATTCTGATTTGAAAAATATGAATCTGTTCCCATCAGATGACCTCTGAGTACTTGGTTTAGGGAGAAAGCTCGAGCTTTTCTTTAAAGAGATGTTCTACAAACACTATCATCGTTGCAGAGTTGGTCTCAGCCCCCTCCTCAACACCATAAATTCTTATATTGTCCCGTCTTGCTCGTCCCTCTTGATCAGTTAACTTATTTTCCATTTTAGCTTGTAGCTGTAGCAGCTCCTTCGTAACTTCTTCCAGCCCCAGCACTCTTTCTTCCGTCTCTGAGATCCTCGTTTCGACGTCATCTATTCTGTTGTTAGTCGTCTTAATTTCGTCCTTGATTTTGGTGAGTGTATTGGCGCTTTCACGCCGGAATTCCCTTAATTCTTGCAGGATCGTTGATAGGTTAGCTGTAGCCTCATTAGCACGTAGCTCCCCGGGTTCGTGCCGGCCGTCGATGTCGCTTGTGGCGAGATCCTCTCCGTCCGAGTGGGTTATTTCAATCCGTGAAACCGACTTTGCTGCTTTAGGCATTTCGTCAACGCCTTTAAATACAAATATAACTCAAATATTTATAACAAAATACTAATAAAGTACGGCGTTGCTCGAATTGATCGAGGAGCTCTGCAGACGTGCTTCTTACTCCATGACTGCCCAAACCGGAAGTCTACTATATCCCTGTCTTGATATTTTATTGTCTCGAAATAGTTTATATTTACTCTTACCCTCTTTGTCACATATTTCTGTGATCTTTTCTGTTGCTAAATTGTGTGTGTTTCCATCTAAGATAATTGACCTGGACATGAAGAGAAACAGGAACAGAGAAGCACTAAATGCACTGAAGAGTGGTATGTGTTCAGGTGAGTGATCCCATGATTTTGAAGTTCATTGCATATGTAATGGCAATGACTGACCAATTCCTGTCACATACAGAAAAGGTGAAGATTTGCTTTGGAAATATGTTCATCAAATTCCCCAAGTCCCAGGCAACACAAATGATTCAAAAAGGTAAAATCTTTTGAAGCAAATGTAACTGTCAAATTGTATGTAGGCCTGATTGTTCCAAATTTGAAATGATTTGCTTTTCATTTTTGACTGAGATTTGTCTTGCTTATGTGTAGACCAGGAACAGCTGGACAGTGAACTAAATCACCTCCGCAAAGGACTGAAAGCAAATGTCAATCATCTAAATGAGAAACAAGGTAAGAACAGCAAATGAGAAACAAGGTAAGAACAGCAAATCCAATACCACATTATGGTGTGACTGAGGTGGTTTTCTTTGTATTGTTGCAGGAAAGCCTGAGCTGAGCGGCTACAATCTTTTGCCACTGTCCGCTGATGAAATGAAAGCCATTAAGAGTGTTTTAAAACGCTGACATCAGATCTTACATAGCCCATTACACTATCCAGATTTCATGTATGTAGTGCTGTCCTGCTTATGACTGAATTCTCAAATAAGGCTTTTCGCTGCTTCTGTTGATCCAGTAGTGTTGTTTAATCATGATTCAGTGATGTTGTGGCTAATATTTTCTATTACGGTAATAAACTGGGAAAACAGCAAATGTCTTCTAATTTCACTCTATGCAATGAAAGTGGATGCACCAGCTTGCAATTCGCCACCCACAAAAGTCCTACGATTAGCACTGTGGCAGTGGGGGCATGAGGCAGCAGTAACCTGCTCTGGTAAATTTCCGTGGCTGAAGAACATACGTACGAATGTGGATTTGGTGTCAAATTTCTTGTTTTGTGTGTTCCATTTGTACAGAGCCAGTGTCGATGGGCTTCTTTTTCTGTGCATAGCGCCAATGAACTGCAATAGAGCCACATGCTGGCTGTGGCACCACTGTGCACTTTAAATGGCTTTTCTGGTCGTGTCACACATTCATGACAAATATTCCACAGACTGTTGAACGTTGCATGCACAGTTTGTGGAGTAAAACCTGTTAATTGGCAATAGAAATTCAAACAGCAACACCTCGTGTGAGCATACAACTGCCTAATGGGCAAAGTGAGGCACCAAGCCCGCAATGCACTTCTCTGCACTTCCTGCAGAGGAACTCCACATATCCAGTAATTTTAATGGTGGAATAATTGCTAACTACAGTGATCCCTCGCTACTTAGCGGTTCGTTTACCGCGGCTTCAGTGCATCGCGGATTTTTTCAAACATAATTTTTTTTTTTTTTTTTTAAATATACATGGAGTACAGTACTGTATATGTTACTCTCTGTGACTCGCTGTTTTCCAGCTTCTCGCGGACCATTTGCGGACTTAAAAAAAAATGTTGTTTTTTTTTTTTTTTTTACCTGTATATGTTAATTGGTCGCTACTTTGCGGATTTTCGTTTATCGCGGGTGGTTTTGGTCCCCATTAATCGCGAGCAATGAGGGATTACTGTACTTCACATGCAAATGATGTCCATCAGATAGTGCCAGTGTGGCTCTGTATCACTTGCCACCCCTGAGTGCATGAACATGGGGGGGAAGAATGTTCGAATGAAAACTTGACCCTTTTTTTTTTTTTTTAAGCCTTGAGCATGAAAGTCTCCTGCCCAAAGAGTAGAAGCCCAGGACAATGAAACTGATTAATCTGCTGGCACAGGAACTTCTATGCTCTCCCTTTCCAATCATTTCTAATGCAAATTCACTTTTCTGGTCAACGAGTCCGGGGGGGGCAGAGAGAAAAAAAGCCTCACCCCACATGACCCTTAAACACAAAAGTGCATGTTGCCAACAGTAGCAGCTGTACACTTTGGAGACTGACATTGTACCTGTTAGCCCCGCCTCCACAGCTCACATTGCTGACACAATTTTTCCTCCAAACTACAGGGTATTCTGACTTTTTGCATGAAAGCCAAATCAAAGACGAAAAGCCAATAACTGATTCAGGTGTTCTCACACCACATAATTTATTTTGATTTAAAAGAGTGATAACATCACTTCAGCGGGAAGGGACAAATGTGGTGGATGGACAGCTCGAGATTTTTCAGCTGCTCCTTGCACCTGCAAGCTTCTGCACTCTGGTGGAACGGCGGCATGCAAACAGACTCCGGCTGACCAGCTGGAAGGGTCTCTGAATTCTGTGGAGACCCAAGAGGAACAATAAGGCACTCTGCTGCCCAAATACTGTCAATGTGGTGCTTTTGCTGCGGACTTGCCTTTGGTGGGTACGTTTCACACTCAAGCTCTCCCACTTGTTTGTACGAGTTGTAATAGGAGGTTTGGCAGTAGATGTGATGCTTTGGGGGTGGGGAGGAGGTCAGATAACTCATTGTTTTTACATTACTCAGTCAAGAAGCAGTTTTCAGAAAACCATCAAGAACATTTAAGAAACTGCTTGGAAAATTTGTATGCCGCCACCCCATAAACAAAGCTCTAGTCAAGAAGCAACTCACAGCTTTGTCAGGGCAGTGAGGCATGCAGGCCGCAAAAGTATGCGTGGCCTCTTGTGGACACATGGTCTCCACCAGGGCAAACTTGAGCCAGGTGATGGTGCCGATGGCGACGATGTACTGCAACAGGAAGGACAAGAAACCTGGCACCCAATGTAGAAAGGGAGGGGAAGAGGAAAAAAAAACCCACACACCTCCTCAGTCAGCTGAGCCACTTCCAGCAGGGTGAAGTAATTGTGGTGTTTGCTCTCCTGATTGAACTGGAGCACTGCCTGCTGCACGGCGCTGACGCCTGTCTGGTCGTTCAGGGACAACAACTTGGGGCAGGAAGGACAAAGGGTCATCATCTCATCTTTGGTGTGGTCTGGTGGCAGAAAGGGGGGGAAAAAAAAAGCACAAATTCACAATGTAGTCACAACTGAGGGTTGACTTCAAAGTCTGCAACTACTTTCGAATTAATACGTCACCTTGGGGGATGTATTATACACATTGGTGAGGTCTTCATCTTTGCCTTTGGTCACATGTGGTGAGGACAGCGTGAAGGCAGCAGCCAGCATGGCTGTCCAGCACATCAACTGACATCACAAGCATGGCTTCAAGTTTAGCCTGCATGGGGTCCAAAACAGCAGTTATCAACCGGTTAGTGTTTCGCGCTTTCTTGGCGGGACAACCAGTCGCTTACGCTCTTGAATGGTGCCTGTTGTAACCATTTAAGTTGGTCACGCTCACGTCTCCTTGCAGTTTTCTGGCGGCTGCCACATTGATGTGAACGTGAAGCTGCTGCAGACCAAATGTCACTTCACCAATCCCAAACCTGTGGACCAATGCGAGCTGTGGCAACGGAACGAACGGGTGAATATTCTTTCAGTCCGCGAGTCAATGGCTGTTTCTGTTGGTGATGTGTTAACTGAGTTCTTGTTGCTTAGGGCGCAGTGGCCACCTGCAGCGTTGAGTTTTGGGTCATGTGGGGGGTGGCCAAAATCACCAAACACAAATGCACCACCAGACCAGGTCATTACCCGCAGACACTACTTGTCAGTTTTTTTTTCCTCTTCTCACCCGTCTGAGACCCTTTGACAGGAGGAATGTAATGAAGTAGCTGTGCTGTAGGACTCTGCAATTTTGTTGCCCTCCAAATATCAAATGTTGACTTTTCACCTGCAGGAGGTCACTTGAGCTGGCTGCCAGCCCTCATGTTATGCTCCTGCGCTTGGCTGACTGCTCCCCCAGTGACCTAGAACTGGCATTTTGCTAGAATTACTGAAATGCCACCCCAAAATTGAATTTGAAGCCCAACGTGATCTGATGGCACAAATGTACTAAAAATACAAAATTCTGTTCTGAACGATGAATTTTAAAAACTTTGATTACGCACCATGCCTCTCAGCAGGCATGTGAGCCTTTTTATTAGAACAAGGATCTTTCTTGGCTGTTTAGACTTGGTTCTTGTATAATACATCCCCCAAGGTGACGTATTAATTCGAAAGTAGTTGCAGACTTTGAAGTCGACCCTCAGTTGTGACTACATTGTGAATTTGTGCTTTTTTTTCCCCCCCCTTTCTGCCACCAGACCACACCAAAGATGAGATGATGACCCTTTGTCCTTCCTGCCCCAAGTTGTTGTCCCTGAACGACCAGACAGGCGTCAGCGCCGTGCAGCAGGCAGTGCTCCGGTTCAATCAGGAGAGCAAACACCACAATTACTTCACCCTGCTGGAAGTGGCTCAGCTGACTGAGGAGGTGTGTGGGGTTTTTTTTCTCTTCCCCTCCCTTTCTACATTGGGTGCCAGGTTTCTTGTCCTTCCTGTTGCAGTACATCGTCGCCATCGGCACCATCACCTGGCTCAAGTTTGCCCTGGTGGAGACCATGTGTCCACAAGAGGCCACGCATACTTTTGCGGCCTGCATGCCTCGCTGCCCTGACAAAGCTGTGAGTTGCTTCTTGACTAGATCTTTGTTTATGGGGTGGCGGCATACAAATTTTCCCCGCAGTTTCTTAAATGTTCTTGATGGTTTTCTGAAAACTGCTTCTTGACTGAGTAATGTAAAAACAATGAGTTATCTGACCTCCTCCCCACCCCCAAAGCATCACATCTACTGCCAAACCTCCTATTACAACTCGTACAAACAAGTGGGAGAGCTTGAGTGTGAAACGTACCCACCAAAGGCAAGTCCGCAGCAAAAGCACCACATTGACAGTATTTGGGCAGCAGAGTGCCTTATTGTTCCTCTTGGTCTCCACAGAATTCAGAGACCCTTCCAGCTGGTCAGCCGGAGTCTGTTTGCATGCCGCCGTTCACCAGAGTGCAGAAGCTTGCAGGTGCAAGGAGCAGCTGAAAAATCTTGAGCTGTCCATCCACCACATTTGTCCCTTCCCGCTGAAGTGATGTTTTTTTTTTCTTTTTTAAATCAAATAAAGGAAATGTGATGTGCTGTGAGGAAACGCCTGAATCAGTCATTGGCTTTTCGTCATTGATTTGGCTTTCATGCAAAACTTAAGTCAGAACATCCTGTAGTTTGGAGAATTGCTTCAGCAAGCAGTGTGAGCTGTGGAGGCGGGGCCAACAGGTACAATGTCAGTCTCCAAAATGTACAGCTGCTACTGTTGGCAACATGCACTTTTGCTTCGTGGTTATGTGGGGTGTGGCACAGATCAGCACCAGTCAACTTTCTACCTGCACCCTTGGTCATTTTGTAAAAGCTGCAGTCAGCATGGGTGGAAAACTCCTCCTTTCTCATTCCAGGGTAGTTTCAGCAAGATGGAAAATATTTATTCCGGTACTTGGTTGTATGCAAAATATTCAAGAGCAAATTATGAACCGACCCCAGTGAAAAAAATTGCTATTTGTGTATTTCTCGAAATGGTAATGTAACAATGTACCTGTGGGCGTTTTTTTTTGTTTGTTTTTTTTTTTTTTTGCATGGCTGTGCAGTCAAGGGCGGCAAGTGATAGAGCTTCACTGGCACCATCTGCTGGACATCATTTGCATGTGAAGAGTCAAAAAAAATTTTACTTAATGTTTGTTAAATCATGTTCATTTTAGTTATATGGACCGTGTTTTCCATTGATTTTCTTTTTTAATCAAATTATTTAATTACTTTAATTACTTTACCATTAAAATCACCGCATGTGCGGATTTCCTCGGCAGGATGAGCAGGAAGTGCGACGAAGCGCACCGCAGGCATGGAGCTTCAGCTCGCCCACTCAGGCAGTCGTCTTGTGCACTCACATAAAAGACGTCGCTCTACGCGTTTCACTGAAATTTATGTGGACATCTCTTACCTATGACCACCTCTGAAAACATCACAATTAACCTGCCCGTGGCTCACTTATGAGAGAATTAGAAAATGAGCACTTTACATGTTGTTTTTCTCAGTTCAGATTTGTTGCTTTGGAAATTCCCCAACATGCAGGGTGCTATACGGAGGCTCGGGGGTGCTACAGCATCTTTCTCACTACCTCTTCAGCTTCCCCAGCTATTCATTCATGAATTCATTCATTCATCCACCTATACAGTTTTAAAACATTAAAAATTTCATAGTAACCATTCTGTTCAAATATAATCCTCTTCCCATATTTGCGCTGCAGCAGCAACAGGAACGACGTTTCACAAAAACTCACAAATTTCATGCTGTAACATGATGAAGGCCCAATTCTTAGGAAATATGAGGTGGATTTGGTTAACTTACTGGGAGAAAAACACAAAAAAATAAAACATGTTTATCCTTTAGCCAGCATGCGATGATATCACTGCAGTAAATTATTAATAGGCGTTTTGAGAAGATATAATCATTTGGGTTGACGCCCAATATGAAAGTAAATAAAAATGGTGGACTTCCTATTATGTTCAGTCCATGGCCGAGCTGTTAAATATACCACCAAATTTTCATTGATCTAGATGAAACATACAACCAAGGCTGCTTTGTAAAAAAATTTGTCTGGGGTTTAACTGAGCCATTTTTAAAAAATAAATTGCACGATAAGGTAATAAAAGTTTTTAGAAAATATGAAGTACATCTGGTAAACTCAGGCTGAGAGAAAAACATCAAATAATCAAATATTTATTTCCTGGAGACAATAGAAGGCACTACCTCTCTGATGAAAAAAACAGTTCGTATATCTTTTCAGGCCTGTCATCAAATGTATGACATTTTGAGAAGATAAAATACAGTAATCTGGGTCAAGTTCCAGCAGCTTTTATTGGTCAGACATTTAGCGTCGCTAAAGTTTTGTTTGACGCCATTGTCAGGTAACGCCACTACAGCTGTCAGAGGTCAATTAGTGTCCAGCTAGTGATACAGCCAAGGGTAGTGGTATGAAATGAGTTTCTAATTGGCCTAAAATAATTTTATACTGCTAACCTTGACTGTATCATTGTGGAACTAATAATGGCTTTACCTCATAGGCCAGGGGTGTCAAACACGCGGCCCGCGGGCCGGAAGCGGCCCGCAAGGAGGTTTTATCAGGCCCATAGGATAATTTAAAAGTGAAAAAAAATGCATAAAAGACACGGAATGAATATTTTTAATGAGGTGCAATTCATGGAATATCCGCTAGGGGGACACACTGTTTTGATCAGAGGAAAAGACAACATTGTTTTGATCAGAGAAGAAGACAACAGCAGCCTCAGTCTGTCACTGAGACAGACCCAACACAGCAGACGCTATCAAGGACATGTCAATACTTTATTCTTTACACATAGCACTCTCCTTAGTTTGTAAGGTGTAGGCAGGGATTACATTTAGATTTTATATGCTTGTGTAAATGGTTTAAAAATTCCTTTCTTTATAAATCTTGTTTAATCTTAAAAGTGCATTACTATATTTTTCAATACCAATTGTTAAGGTTTTGTGCCTTTGTACAGTCAGTGGGATCAGTTGCAATGCATATATGTGAATGATAAAAGTAAATTGCACATTTGTCTAAGGAAATCTTAGGTACTTCATGAAATTTTTTGTAAAAGATATGTTCATTAAATTTCAACATTTTCCTAGTGTTCTTGTGCTTCTTTAGATCAAAACAAAGGAAAGACATATTATTTTCGTTATTTATAGCAGAGTATGGTATAATTTTTAATGGTCCGGCCCACTTGACATCTACCGAGGCCGTATGTGGACCAAAATGTGAAATGAGTGTGACACCCCTGTCATAGGCAGTCACATTTAATGTCAATAAAGTCCAAAATATTGTGCCCATTGCTTTTATATTTTCACATGTTGAAGTGGGGGCGGCCTGGTGGGCCAGTGGTTCGTGCGTCGACCACAAAATGCAGAGGTCGTGGGTTCGATCAAGGCTCTGGCCTCCCTGTGTGGAGTTTGCATGTTATCTCCATGCCTGCGTTGGTTTTCTCCGGGTATTCTGGTTTCCTCTCACGTTCCAAAAACGTGGCAGGTTAATAGAACACTCGAAATTGCCCCTAGGTGTGAGTGCGAGCGCGGATGGTTGTTCGTCTCTGTGTGCCCTGCGATTGGCTGGCAACCGTTTCAGGGTGTCCCCCGCCTACTTTGTCTAAGATTTCCTTAGACAAACTTTCACACAATCTCTTCAAATTGTGTGAAAGTTTGATAAAATGGGATAATGTGGGTCAAGTTACAGCTACTTTTGCATTCACATCCATCCATCCATTTTCGGATCTGACTATCCCAGCTGTTTTAGGGAGGGCGGGGTACACCCTGAACTTGTTGCCAGAGCCATTCACAGGGCACAAACAGACGAGCAATCATTCACACTTACAATCACACATAGGGACAATTTAGAGCAGGGGTGGGCAGTTATTTTCGCGGGGAGGCCAAATGAGAAGCAGAAAATATTGTGGAGGGCCGGGCCAAAAATTAGAAATCTACTCCCAATTTCAATTTTATTTCTATGTTGAAATAGGTTAATGACATTGTTTACAGAATCTGATAAGAATATGTATTATTGCTAGATAATGAAAGTGCAGTCATTTTACAGAAAAAACGATTTCTTCAGTGAAATTATGCAAAACAAGTCTAATTGTGCAACATTTGTAACGCTTTTTCAGTAAGATGAACACTACAACGCTTTCTGATTTTAACTTTCCCATGGAGATAGCACAATGTCTTTGTATGCCAGTAATAATGTAACATAACTCACATTTGTTGTCCCAACTGCCAAACGATGTAGAAAAAAATACAAGCAAACATGTTTCAGTGTTTTGTTTTGTTTTTCTTGTTCAGTAGAGCTCAATCTAGCCCAGGGGTGGGCAAACTTTTTGGCTCGGGGGCCACATTGATTTCTAAATTTGACAGGTGGACTGGGTCAGCACAAGATACAGTACATATAAAAAACTGTATATGTTGACAGTCCATACCAAACATCAACAGAACAAAAGCATTAAAGTATTACCATACTTTTTTTTAAAAATAAGAACAATGAAACAACTGTGGTGTATGTCCTGGATGAACGTCCAAGTATGTTAACAACATACATGTGCGACAACACAAGCAACAAAGTGCAAAAATATATTGCCCAAAAACTGCAGCATACAGTACAGGTATATGACAAAGTATAACAAAGTTAGGACTATTTGCTACAAAATGAGACGAGTAAAATACCTGGCGGCTTTCTTTCCACTCACTCACTGTCTCGAACTTGACCTCCCCTCGATCACCACACAAGACAGCGTTGCTCAGCTGATGGATGTCGTGCAACGAACTTTTGAACCCAGCCACGGGGTGCTTTGAAGTCTTCGATGCCCATAGTGCTATGGAACTCGATTGCTCTCTTATTAGTGGTCCAGCGTGCGGAAAGTTTTTAGCACGATAACAGTCAAACCATTCCAGGAAACGTTTATTTACTCGACTGTCCGTCGAGCCGCATGCAATTCACTCTGAGCATGGAAACAGCCAGAATCGGACTGAGCAAGAATCGCTTCCTCGTTTTTCAAAGTCTCGTAGATTTGAGTCTTTCAGACTCCAAGCGTCTCCTGAATCTTTCGTACTTTGTAACCCACTTCGTTTAATGAGATACACTTCACTTTCTCTTCTGCGGCCATTATTGTTCCTCTTCATTTGGATGCCGTGATCTACAGGACGTAATAATGTTCGCAATTCCAGTAAAACTCACTGCAATAAAGAGTCACTTGCATGTTGTCGTTTTGGATCCAATGATTGAAAATAGCGGCGCAGACACACTTATTCTGTCGTATCGAGCACAGTTACTTGAGTTAGCGCCACTACTGCGGGCTTCCGTATTGTCTCCCCCTTCCTCCCTGTGCTCTGCAACTTCAAGTAACTGCGCCACCTGGCGTTGAAATGCCTGTCATTACAAGTCCAAATGAAATGAATACAATCATTTACATCGAACCTTAATTGTGTACTGTACCAACCTTCGGGCGGGCCGGATTAAAAAGACCAACGGGCCGGATCCGGGCCACGGGCCGTAGTTTGCCTAGGCCTGATTTAGAGTGATCAATAAAGCCAGGGGTCCCCAACCCCCGGGCCGCAGACCGGTACTGGTCCGTGGGTCATTTGGTACAGAGCCGCACAGAAAGAATAAATAACTAACATCTGAAAGATGTTTTATTTCGAAAATTTACCGGAATCTCCATTACACCTGTCTACAGTATGTCACCCTTGACTCAGGTCATGGCACGCTTCTCGGTCATGCGATAGGTTACTGCTGAAATGAAACCCGGGAGCTAGCAAAATGAGTAAAAAATAAACGACTTTGGAAAGTTTCTTTGGGAAGGGGAAAAGGCCCAGCCAGGAGACAGAAGAGGAGCCAACGACTACATTTAATTGACAATATGCAGAGTCCTACTTAAAATACGGATTTATCTCAATGGGAGATTTCCACACATCAAGCCCACTACGCATAATATGCGGCAATGGTGTGTTGTATTTTTCATGCACTTTGTATCTTATTTTGAAGGCAGGTTTAAAAGTTTCCATTGCGACCAGAGAGCTTTGCGGCCAGATAGGGCGTTCCTTTTGTCATGGTTCATGTTTATTACTATGTTTCAAAAATACCATAGTTTTCATGCAGGTCATATTATATTATTTTGTTGTATTTATCTGTCACACCTTCAATTCCGGTCCCTGAAAATATTGTCTTCACATTAAACCGGTCCGTGGGTCAAAAAAGGTTGGGGACCGCTGAATTAACCTGCCATGTGTGTTTTTCGAATGTAGGAATACCCGGAGAAAACCCACACAGAAAGGCGAAAGCCCGGAATAGAACCCACGACATCTGCACTATGAGACGGACGTGCTAACCAGTTGACCACTGTGCCACGGGGCCCCCAACCTTTTTTGCCCCACGGACCGGTTTCTTTTGTATTCACAGCTAGGCCAAATTTTAAAGTAAATTTTGACTCATTTTATGGAGGTCATATTTTTTTCAAACTCGTTTTTAATCCGATGTTCTTAATTTTCCACAAATTCGAATTTCAATTTGCAATTATCCCAACGTGCCAGTACCCCAATGTGGCCACGGTTATGAGCGTCTGAAGAGGTACTTGCAGTTCTGGTTTCGGACCGAGCATTGACTGCTGCAAGGTCCCTATTGTCTTTGTAGAAATTGTTATTATTATTCGGCCCGAGGTGCAACCGCCAAAAACTCACCAAACTTTGTAGGCTCATATGCCCTGGCAAAATTTGTTGTGCCGCAGAGGAGCAAAACAAATGCAATCCCAGTATGTTTGACCAAGGGCTATGAAAATTGGGAAGACACATGTTGCACCCTGAGACGTACAAAAAAGTCCATTGCAGCCATTTGCTAAGGTTGCACAGGAAGCAAGTTCTGATTTTTGGAATTAATATCATGATGAACATTATGCTCTGGAGTGAGATCTTTTCTGGTACAGGGCACAAATAAAATCTGAGGACACAGCATAATCACTTGAGTGTCCATTTTTTTGTGCGTGTTCACTGTTTTTATGTTATTAATTTAATATTTGAACCATTGTTTTCACATGACTGATTTTTACCTTATTTACGACACTTTTTATGCAGCTGTGGTTGTTTTTAATGTGCTCTGTAAATGAAGTTATTTACCCCAAACATGTGATTTAAATGTATCCTACATTTATTGACTAGATATTTATTTATTTATTCGTTTATTTGTTTATTTTACGGTAATGTGTAGGAGCTGTACTTTTTGGTTAATGTATAGGGTGGGACCACTCCTTCCCCTGAGAGAGCATATTGGGTCAGGACGCTGTTCAAACCCCCACCCCACCACTCTGTGCGCGCGCGCACGCACGCACACGTACACACACTCGCACGCGCCACGTACACGTAGAAACACGCGCACGTACGCACGCACACACACACACACACACACGCGCGCACACACACACACGCACGCACGCACGCGCGCACACACACGCACGCACGCACGCGCGCACACACACGCACGCACGCACGCGCGCACACACACGCACGCACGCACGCGCGCACACACACGCACGCACGCACGCGCGCACACACACACACACACACAAACACACACACGCACACGCACACACATGCACACACACACAACGACCGACAGACCGACGGTTGCTGTGAATCGAACATGGCGACTGTACCCGTCTATTGCATCTGCAGATTACCTTACGACGTGACCCAATTCATGATTGAGTGCGATGCTTGCAAAGACTGGTTTCACGGCAGGTAAAACACTTTATTTAATACGATGCATTTTGGCGTTTGTTTGAATTTGGGGAGGCCAAATAACAACGGCGAGCCCTCGGTGTGCTTGACAGTTTTGTGACTCTCCGTCGCGAGTCTACGTCTGAAGAGAGGCCGCTTGGAGAAGAAGGCGGAGTTAATAGCTGAGCAGAGTAGTGAAAATTTCGTGGATAACTGAAAACTGATTCTTCTAAAACATTGATGTGGCTCAATCTTGTCATTTCTGTGTCTGTGTGTCGCCATTTACAGCAGTTAAAGTGCTCGATGACATGTCCGCATATAGTGCCGATAAGAGGGGACTGCAACCGGGCAGCCTTGCTCGACATTCTCGCTTTTAATTTGTGTATGCAATACCGTTTGTCCTGTGTGGTTTTGGAACGTTTGCGACATCGCCCCAGGATTGGAGTCTTTCAGTCAGTGATTTTTGTAAGGGGAAAAAACAGAAAACAATCATGACCACAGTGCGACCCGAGCCCGGAACAGTCTTCCTGTGAGACTGCATATATTGCGCTGACAATGGACCATGTCGGATTTCGCTTTAGCGGGTCAAATGAGAACGTATTCTTAAATATGAATTGTCGATGGCGAGCTGTCTAGTGTCTACACATCTGTTAGCATTACTACAACAACCTTGAACGTGAAAACTTGTTTTAATTTTAAGGTGTCCCACAATTCTTGCTATATGGTTAAGGCGTGTGCTTAGCTTTGTTTTGGGGATGTTTAATGTCACTCCGGCTATCAAAACGAACAACTACACTTAGTTCCCTGTGTTTCTTTGAGTGAAATAGCTCACTGCGAGATCATGATCCGTGTTCACCGTCCATGAATGCATAGCCTTTGACAGTAATACTCCTCTATCTTTAATCACGTGCTATGTACATTGTAAAATCCGGTGGTGTGAATCAACTTCTAGTCGCGAAGACTAAATACAGAATTCCCCAGTACCCGGGAGAACATTTAAATATTGAATGCTAATGTAGCAGTTTACAATTGGACATATTGATACTGTATCGAGGGGTTGCACCTTGGTGCTAAAAATAGTAACATATTCCACAATGCTATGAGCTCGACCATCATTGCAGGCTGCTTCGCCTTTTCATTGCAAACTCTGGTGTGCTGTGAAGTGTATAACGATTTAGATTAGTTTGTGCTACTGAAGTTTTCAGTGACCTTTGACAATCTGTACCGGTGGAGATACTGTATGTGGTCTGCTGAATTATTGTTATGTTAAATGTTCTGTAACACGCTTTTTTACAGCTGCAACTGTTGTGAAAGCACTATATAAATAAAGTTATATTGTATAGAAGTACATGGGGATGTGAGACTGGCAGGCAAGTGCACTGTAATTTCAGTTTGATTGGAGATTTGAAGACTACTAAATTTAAACAGCAAGACTGGAATATGCAAATGTATGATAACTAAAAAAAACAATTATTCCTTCACTGACCCCAAAGTAAGTACTGTCCAGCATGACTTCTATTGATCTTGTCAATTATTGTCCACAAACCAATTTCCAATTAAGTTGGGACGTTATGTTGAACATAAACAAAAACAGAATACACTGATTTGAAAAACCCACACAGGCAGAACATGCAAACTCCACACTGGAAGGCCGGAGCTGGAATTGAACCCTGCACCTCTCAACTGTGAGACTGATGCACTAACCATTTGACCACGCGCTGCCAATTGGGAAAGCATGTTCAATCTATATTTAATTGAATACACTATAAGGACAAGGGCATGTTTGAACAAGTTTATCATTTTTAGCAAATAATCATAAGCTTTGAATTTTACGGCTGCAACACGTTTCAAAAAAAGCTGGAACAGGGTCATTTTTACCACTGTGTTGATTCATCTTTTCTTTTTACAAAATTGAATACATGTTTAGGAAATGAGGACAGTAATTGTCAAAGCTTGGTCTGGAGAAAGCTTTCCCACTGTTGCTTGATGTCCAGCTTCAGCTGTTCAACAGTCTCCATTGTCATATTTTATGCTTCTTAATGCGCCACACATTTTCAATTTGGAGACAAGTCCAGACTACCGGCAGGCTACTCTAGTACCCACAAATTTTTACTTAGAAGCTACGCTGTTGTAACACGTGCAGAATGTGATTTGGCATTGTCTTGCTGAAATAAGCAAGGGGTGTCCATGAAAAAGACGTTGCTTAGATGGCAGCATAAGTTTCTCCAAAACCTGTTTGTATTGGTATTGTTGTGAGCTGGAGTGATGGCAGTTCTACAGCAATAAAATAAAATTAAAAAAAACTAAATTAAATAAAAAAGTGCCATGCAACATTGAGTTGCGAATGACCTTTTTCACAAACTTTTCAAGTTACACACAAATATTTTGTGGAAAAGCTCCCTCTCGTTACATATGTTTCATTTTTTTCCAACTCTTAGTTACACCACAGAATGACATAAAAGTTCCTGTTGCCCCCCCCCCCCTCCACGCACACACACAACTCGATGTCTGCTCCGTGACAGCTAATTAGTAGATAACTGTTGTGTATGCGGCCAGAAGTTCCACTTACAAACACGCTTCTTCCAATTACAATTCTCACAGCTTACAGCCTATATTTATGATTAATGTGGCAAAAAATTTCAACACTATGTACGATATTTACCGTGTTTATTGTATTGGATCATTCCTTAAATTAAGGAAAAAAAAAACCTAATGTAAAACTTGACCCCTGCTCCCTACGGTAGCACGTACAGTAGAAAGCTGCAGACGGAAGTCCCGTCGAAACAGATCCTTCTTCCAATCACAATTCTAACAAACTGCTAAGATTTTTGATTAAGGTGGCAAAAAAAAAAAAAAAATCCATGCATCCTTTTTTTTTCTGTGTGTGTCAAAAAAAAAATCCAGATTAGAAAATAGACAAAAGAACAAAAATCATATGAATAAGATTATTTATTTTGGAAGGAGACTCCTTTTCAGTGGAGGAGCTGTTGTCTTTCTCCTTTCCTCACTTAAAGGGCCACTTGATCGGGTTGAACATTGACACTTAAAAACAAGTCTCTATGTTAACATGTCAGCACTGAAATTCACCCACTGAAAAACTCTGTCGTGATTTACCTTTTTTTGGGGGGGGGGGCTGATAAATTTTAATACAAGTTTTGCACCCCCAAATCGGTTGAGACTGTTTGACTTACATATCATTGAACTAAGGAGGCAAGCATTGAAATGTTGTCTCCTGGCTTGCTGTTGTCATGTTTTATTGTCACTTATACCTGTATGTCACCATCCAACATAGCGACAAACAATTGTGAATGTTGTCAAAAGCAGCGAATGTTGGGTCAGAGTTCATCAGCGTTCGTTCAAGATCAAAAATGTTCGCTTGTAATTTTCTTGTCGCAAAGGAAATTTAGAACATGATTTTGTGAATCATATCTTGCGGATTTATCAAAGAATGAACTCTGGCATGAGAGAAACTCCATGTAAGATGCTCATTTTCTCATTCTAGGAAAGTCATGGAGAGGCTGATCCTTGCGGTATTTTCAGCGTTTGAATTAGGCAAAAATAGTGATGTCCACATACATTTTGGTGCCAGTTGATCTTAATTTTTGGAAATGATTACCGATGTTTGTACAATGAGTTTGAATGGACAAATTATGTCCAGTTTCTCCACTCCTACCAAGACATGGGAAGAGGGAGGGGGCGTGGCTATACTGTATGACAAGAATGGGGCGTTTTGAGAGTATTTAGTTATTTACTGATTTCTCCAAAACAAATTGATAACATTTAAAATGCAAGTTCATATCATTCTCCTGATCAAAAAGTACACCGTTTTTGAGTGAAAAATATGCCATCCCAGCCAAATCATCCCTTTAAAGTTAAAGTGCAATAAGCACTTATGTTCCTTTAATGTTAGGCGTAGAAAAAAAAGTAGTGTGTTTCCGGTAACCCGACCGATCGAGAATTTCTACCTCGAAAAAAACTTTACGGTCTGCATTTTTTTCAAACAACTTTCTACATTTTTGTGTAGAGTGTTTACATCGGTGCAAACTCTCGCGATATTCACGTTGAGCGTGCGTGTCGTTTGCCCTGTCGTCTGTCAACAACATTGAATCATGGCAGCGGCCACAATCTCTGACAACAGTTTAAACCGCGTTTTGTGTGTTGCAGTCGCATGCTCGCACCATAATATTAAGAAAATAGCTTCCATTGATGTATCGAAAAGATTCAGTGAACTATTTGATGAACACCACGGGCCGAGTAAAAACCGAGGGCGGAGGAGGACGGCAGAGGCGGCGGCGCGCCCCGGCCCCCCGAGTCCGGAGTGGGGAGAAAACTAAATAGATGGCGGCGGCGCCGAGCGGCGGGTTCAATGTCTTCTTGTTTTATGTTTTATGGTTATTTTGTTTAAATTTTTGATGGAAAAAAAAAGATTAAAAAAAAAAAAAAACTTTGTCCGACTTACCGACCCTATGCTGAAATTTCATGTTACCGGAAACACACTACTTTTTTTTCTATGCCTTATGTCTTTAAAATAAAGTATATTTACAAGCACACCCCAGTTAAAATTAGAAAAAAAATATGTACTGAAAATAATTTGGGGTACTATTTTATTGGGGAAAAATTTTTCCGAGTAAATATATTAGGAGTATTCTTGAGTAAAAGTTACTTGAATATTACTAGTTTTTAAAAAAAGAATAATTACTCAACATAAACCAGCGATTATCAATTAAGTTCAAGTTCAAGTCACCGTTATTGTCAAATGTGCTCTATGTGCAACATACAGCACAGATGAAATTTCTTTCCTCTCAACCACAGGAGAGAGAGAGGAGCCGCTGCGGGTGCCCGTGCCGCCATCAGCAGAACAGTAAACATAAAAATGACAAATAATACAACACAACATTTCAGACACAGATAGTCGTGCAATCTTAACCACTCTTTCTGTTTACAATTTGTTGTTTGAAGCAGTTATAGATGAAAGAGGAGAGAATCAAAGTGTCTAAAGTGTTCAATATTCTCACAGAATTTCATTCTCATTTCATTTACCTTTTCTACTAACTAAGAAAATGGTAAACGGGCTTTCTCTCATAGAGTTTTTTTAACACTCTCTCCACTTCTTTGACATGGTCATAACAGTTGAGGATCGAACCCACAACGTTCAGAGTAGGAGACAACCACTCAGTAACCTGAGCCATTTTGCTTCAACTCTGCTTCCACTGCGTGTTTGTACATTGCTGGTAGAATTCTTGTATCGCCAAAATCAGGAGCCCCCAAAAGTGGTATGTTTGGTCAACCATTAACATTGAATCGAAAGCCAAAGGTGACAAGTCCAGGTCCAGAGAGTTAGAGCCCTACCACAGATGAGCTTTAGGCACAGGTGCGTTGACAAAAGCTAAACTGTCTGGACCTTTACTTCCTGGTCTTGGATTTGTCACCTTTAAAGAGAGCAAGCAATTTTCAACTCTCTCTCTCTCTCTCTCTCTCTCTCTCTCTCTCTCTCTCTCTCTC